ACAAATTTAATTTCAAAAAGAAAATTTTTTTTTTTTTTTTTTTAGAGGGAGAAATACACTTTACACGCTGATCTTTATTTAGCAAGGCTCTTTCTCAGGAACGCTTTAAATGACTGTATTTGTGCCCTTAAGTCTTGCCAAGACAGAGGCACAGACACGTTTTTGAATGTTTAGATGTGCCAGCCAGAGATTAACAACTGGGGCCCCGGGGTGGCAGCAGCAGTGGCTGCCATTCTTGTGCCCCCTCGCTCTAGGCACCTGAGGCTGGTGCCCTAGTTGCCCACCTCTTGTTACACTACCGGGGTCAGCTAGTAAACGGGAATCTTCCTCCAAATTACAAGGATAATTCATGTAGACAGATCTGAGATGAATCCTCTGAAATCTGCATCCCTTTTGTCCATCTGAGTCTCTCCCTGCATCCTAAAATTGCAAAGTTATGAGGCCGGGTAGAAATTGTTACGGTCAGATCATCTGCCATTGTACATCGATGGATTTTTTTATTAAACTAAGGGGAGTTGCATGACAAAATCCCTTAGGTAGCTCTGAAAATGTTCAGCTTTTCTCTAAAAGACCTATCTATCTACACTAACTCCTCTCTGGACTGACATGCAATGTATTTTGTGGCCCAAGAAATGTGTTATATTGAAATGTGGGACTTCTGCACAAATAAAAAAATCATTAAAAACAGCATTTTCCAGTAAAGTTTCAAGTTTCAAAAAAAAGCTATGAAACTAAAAATATGAAGAATGAGGCAGAAGGTCAATATTTTTCACCCTAAGATGGTGAGGGAATTTTTACTTTCAGGGTTTTTTAATTATTATCCTTTCTCCTTTTTTTCCCCCATTGATAAAAGAGGCAATAAAGGGTATAAGTTTAGCACCTTTATAAGGCGCTATTATGAGGAAGGCACCTTAGCACCTTCAACCAGAGATGAAAAGCAGAGGAAAAAACCCTCATATCCCTATTTACTTGTTTCCATTTGAAAAATTGGGGAAAAAACTAGAAGCCCAAGAAAGTGGGGGTTCTTTTCCTTTATTTTATATCTTTTTTTTAAAAACAAAAAAGGTGCAAAAATCCAGGTGCAAACATCCAATTTAAAACAGAAAGGATATTTTCAAAGCAAAGCTGTATTTTTTTTACTGAAGGAAACAAAAAATGCATATTTCATTTTTTTTAATGCCAATTTTAATTTTTGCAGTAAATATCAGTGTGTCTCTTGGCAGCCTTTCAGGTTATCCAGGGACACAGCCCAGGTGTGGAGTCTAGTGAAGGTGAGCCCATGTCTCCTTGGGCTCACTTGGCCCCGTCGCTGCCTCTGTAGCTCTACAGATAAGCTCAAGCAGCTGTAGGACGTAACTGGGGTTTCATTCGTTAAAAGGAACTAGCAAAACCAGAGGTGAAATGCAGGGAGGCAAGGAGCCCTTCTCAAACCAGTCAGCATGTGTTAAGTGTGATCCTGTTCCAAGGTTGCTAAGTCAAGTCTAAGCAAAGTCCTCGTCAATAAGACATGTCCACTGTCCAGGCCGACGCAGCTGCGTCCCTTTTTGGGTCATACTATCTTAGTTTGAGTCCCAAGGTCTAAGGCATGACCCCCTTTCAGCTCAGTTTTCCCACACTGGATGTCTTTGATCCATCTCCTGCAGACATCACCCTCAAATGCACTGAATGGGACATCCAAGAAGAGCACATACCAACTGATGAAGCTTCCTTAGCCTGACGAAGGGTTTTTGAACCTGAAAGCTTACTTAATAACTATTCTCCAACCATTTGGGCTGGTCTAATAAAAGATATCAAATTCACCCAAGGAACCTTGTCTGAATGGGACAGGTGTTTTTCCACATGTAAACTGATCTATTCGATACTTGTTGGACATGCTCTACCAGCCTCAACAGCTACCCACAGAAACTAACCTCTTACCCCCTACTCCATGTCCATGGTGAATATTATCCCATTCCTTCCCAGTGTTAAGTGCAAAACATTGAGAAAAGGAAACTGAGGCATGCATAGAAACGTACCACAATTATAGAGTCATAGAAAATTAGGGTTGGCAGGAGGTCACCTCTAGTCCAGCCCCCTGCTCAAAGCAGGACCAGCCCCAACTACATCATCCCAGCTGAGGCTTTGTCTAGCCAGGTTTTGAAAACCTCCAAGGATGGAGCTTCCACCACCTCTCTGGGTACCCCGTTCCAGTGTTTTACTACCCTCCTAGTAAGAAAATTCTTCCTAATGTCTAACCTCAACTTCTCTTGCTGCAATTTGAGCCCATTGCTCCTTGTCCTGTCGTCTGCCACCACCGAGAACAATCCAGCTCCATTCTCTTTCAAACCCCCTTCAGGTAGTTGAAGGCTGCTTTCAAATCCTCTCCAAGTCTTCTCTTCTCCAGACTAAATAAATGCAGTTCCCTCAGCCTGTCTTCATAAGCCATGTGCCCCACACCCGTCACTGGCTAGGGGGTACCTCTCCCCACACCCCACACTGACTAGTCTTCCTACCCTGGGGACAGAACTAGCACCCTGTGCCCTATTCCCCACCCTTTGGAGCCAGGTAGCTAGCTCCCCCACCCACAAGCTGGCATCCCCATGCCTCCCTGCCAGGAGGAAAGGCCCCCCATCCCATTTCTTGGCCTTCCCCCATCATCAGGCCCATATGGCAATGACAGCCATGAATGTGAAGCCAATGCCAATGAAGAAGAATTTGGCCAGCGGAGCATAGAAGTCCCAGCTGCCACCCCCTCCAGTACAGCCCTGGCCAGGCTGCTGGCATCCCCCCCAGAAAACGAGACCCCAATGCCCACAGCAATGCCAGCAGGGGACATAAGGGCAAAAAGCACCAAGTAGACCAGCCTCCAGCGGGCCCGAGTGCCGCTCTGCACTAGCTTGAGGGCCAGGCTGAAGACCACGATGGCCTTGTGGACCAGAACAGCTCCACAGAGCTGCAGCACTTCTGTTTTGTCCCGCTGCACCCCAACAGCCAGCCCCTCGAAAACAGAGTGGAAGGAGAGCGAGACGAAGAGCACCAGGGCCCGGAAGGAGCTGGGTGATAGGGCGCTGTCCTTGGGGTCTTTGTCGGATGCTGCAGCTCCATGGGAATGAGTGGCTGAAGGGCAGCAGTGAACCACCAGGCTCTCGATCAGAAAGACCAGGAAGAAGCCACAGGAGATGACGAGCTCCCCAAAAGGGTAATCCAGCTATGAAGTAGGGGGAGAGGGATGAGGAGATGCCAAGAGAGAGAGGGAAAGACATACTGGATTAGAGGGATATTTGCATACAAGCCTCCCCACAACCTCCCATATCTTACAGAGGACATATGCTAAAAACAGAACTAGTTAGGAAAATGAGGTCTACTCATTACAACTGGGAGGCTGAAAGCCAGGACTCCGGGGTCCATCCCTAGAGCCGAGAGTGGAATGAGGTCTAGTGAGTTAGACCCTTACTAAACCCTGCACCTTCCCTTGACCGAAGGGTAAAACCCAGGAGTTTGGGGTCCCAGTCCCCTTGCTCTAACAGGAGGGGGCTATAAGCCAGGGCTCCCTGGCTCCAGTAGAGAAGCGGGCCAAGTGGGACACGGGGGGAGGGAAGGGCTAGAAACCGAGGCTCCTGGGCTCTATTCACAGCATGGGGAGCAGAGGTCTGATCGGGGACCAGTCATTCCCCTCCCAAACGTCCCCTCTCGCATCCTGTCTCCAACCATCGCTCTTTCTTCCACTGTCTGGCACAGGGGTGCTTCTGGGCCCTCACCTCAGCTTTGCCATCATCAGCCCCAGACGAACTGTTTGCGCTCCCTGTGACGTTCTGGCTAGGACTAACCTGTAGGCAAAGAAAAGCATTAGACAGTGCTAGGGGAGGGGACGAAGGCCACGTTTCTTAGACCTCAATTGTACATAGCAGCCCTCCGGTTTGCACACCAGCACCCAGGTTCCTGCTGCACCCTGCTGAACAGCTTGAGGCCTGGCGTGTGTGCATTTGGGGTCTCAACCTTTATAAACTCGAGGCAGCCCTTGTAAAATGCCAGCTTAATTTTCACTTGTTTTTTGACTACAGAAAAACAATAGATCCGTGCTGCAGTTGCAAAGAGCTCAGATAACAACGTTTCAGGATGTTTCTGCCCCTTGAATTCCTGTCTGAAACCCCTAGGCTTATCTTATGAATTGCATTTGCACACCCAGCAGTTAACATTGAGTGGCATCCTGCAGCACCGTTGAAAAAGTCTCGAGGATCTTATGCTGCGTAGGCCACAGCACATTCCTATAACCACCTCCTGGAAGGACTGAGGCCGACAGAAGGTCCCGTGTATTTGTGACGGTGTGCTACCACCTGCCGGACAGAGAGAACGCTGCTATCCACCAGCCAAACAGCTAAATCCCCTGTTGTGTATGAGCCTGCATGCTGCGTGCTGCCGCCTGGTGGAAAAAGGAGCGGTGTAAATCAACCCCCAGAATTCCTGCTCCCCACAACTCCTTCCTAAGGGGTGTCATGGTGTGTGTGTGTGGTTCAAGTATGTGTGATGATCTTTGGAAAAGGGACAGAGCCTTGTTTTCTGTGTGGGCGAGTGAATATTTGTCCTCTGACCTGCTTTGGAAATGATTTAATCCTCCTGATTGCATGTGCCCTGCACACCCTGCATGTGGGTGTGTAGAAGAGAGGTGTTCCTGCAGTTCCCTGATGGAAAGACCAAACCCTGCTTTGTGTATATATCCATGTTACTGTGTGCGCTGCTTCGCACTGAAGCAAGATGCAGGTGTGAGCCTGTGTGTAGCATTGTGTGCTGCCTTGGTCTGGGAAGGATGGCCTCTGCATTGTGTGCATGGGGGAGTATTACTATGGAGTATCGCTCCCTGCTGAAGTAAAGGAGCAACCTGGGTGTTGCTGTTTGGTGCTTCTTGTTAGAGTGCTTGAGCTTTCTCTGTTAGGATGCATGCAGGACATGCATCCTGCTTTCTCTGTTAGGATGCATGTCCACCACCATCCCATGCTGAGAAACTGAGCCTTGCAGGGCGGGGGGTGTACACTACTGTGTGCTGCACCTGCAGAAATGAGCAGTGGGTATCCCTCCTGTGTGCTGCTCTGGTCTGGACAGATTGAACCCTGCTCTGTGCATATATGGATGTAGGTGTGTGTGTTACTATCTGTTGCTCCTTGCTGGTTTGAAGGAGATACTTGCAAATGTGTGATGCGATGGGTGCTGCCTCTTGCTAGGAGAGCAAGAACACTGATTAGGCTTTGCTTGGCAGCTGACAGACCCCCAGCGTTAAGTTGTAAGAGTCAGAGTGCAGGCCCAATGGCATGAAAACCATAGGATTGTGCCACGTCTGGGTGGTCAGTGGCAGGAACACTGTGATTCCCCAAAAAGTTCTCAGAATTCGGTTTGCTAGGGGAAGCATTAGTTTACCTGGTGTGGACCAGGTACTGACAGTTGGCACAACATGAACGCTGATCCACTGCCAACTGCAAGAAGGAATACGCCCTGCTCTCTTCATGTGCTGCTATCCAATTGAGGAAGTGGGCGCTGCTCCATTTTGCTTGTGAGCATATGCTTATATGTGCTATTTGCTGCTCCTAGCCGGAGTGAGGGTTTGTATGAACTTTCCCTCCATACACCCTCACTGCGGCATCCTGCTGTTTGTGTATATGTGTATTACAATGTGCTACTTCATGCCAGAGTGGTATGTGGCTAGGTATGTCACCAAGTCCTTCTCGGTCTGGAGGGGTTGAGCCCTAATTGTGTGTTAGCGGCCATGCTGCTATGTTTGCTGCCTCTTGCCCTGATTTCTGTGTCTGTCCTGTATTTGTGCATGTGTGCGTGGTTGTTGCCATACAGCTGTTTCCTTCCAGAGAGAGAGCGCTCTGCCGTGTGTGTGTATATATTTCTGTGCACTATACATTTGTGTGCATCTATTTCTGTGCCACCTGCTAGAGTGAGGTATGGGCATTTTATAATGTGCTGGAGCAAGAGCAAGTGTATGGTCTTACACGTGCAGTTCTTTGCTAGAGGGAAGTGAATAGGCAATGCATAGGCACATCCCTACTCCTCCCAAGCACACGCATTAGAGCAGTGTCTCTGGTGGGGCATCCCACAGCAGCATCCAGATATACACAGAGAAGGACACACACAATGCCCACACAGCAGAGCTCAGTCCCTCATTCATGGGACGCTCTTTCTACCTCTCACACACACATATGTGTGCACGCACACACGATACTGGTTTTTCCAGAAGGGAGCAGTTAGGCAGGTGCATAGGCAATAGGGTTCAGTACCTCAATATGGGGACCCAGACAGTCACAAGAGAAAGCAAAGTTCAGGCACTGGAGCAGGAGTCGGCAAACAGCACCCCTCTTCTTGCTAATGGGTCTGCACCCTGCACTCTCGGAGCATGTGCATGTCCCAGGGTCCCACCCCGATGGCAGTGTGTATCCAATTGCCCCCTGCTGAAAGGACAAAGCTGGTGGGGGTGTGCACACATGCACATGCTGTCCTTGTGAAAGTGAGATGTGGGTGTCCTGCTGTGCGCTATCTTGGTTTTTGAGACACTGAGCCCGGCTGTGTGCGTTGTATACCCTGCAGAAGTAGGGGAGGTCCATGCACAAACTCACATAAAATCTTGTGTGCTGGTCCCTAAAAGGCTGAGGGGGAAACAGGCTATCCTTTGGGGGGCTGTAATCATGTGCTACATCTTACTAGAGGATGAACCCTGTCATCTGTGTCTGTATGCATGCATGTCTCTGTGTGATATACACAGACACACACGCTGACAGGTAGGAGGGATGAGCCATACTTTATATGTTTTTGTGCTTGTGCATACTCATGCACATGTTGCATGTTGCTGCCTGGTAGAATAGTGATTCTCAGTCAAGGTACTGTGGCACCCTGGGATGCTTTGGGAGCCTTTCAAGGGTGCCGAGACGTGCCACACAACAGCAGCACTGTTAGGTGTGCAAACATGATTCACAAGATAAACCCACTGATTTCAAATAGGAATCCAACCACCAAAAATATTCTGACCTGCTGCAATCTCTCTGAAGCAGAACTGCTCTATTATTTTTGGGGGGGTCAAAGAACTGAGTGAAAACTAAGAGCTGGCATTTTCTAAGGGGTGCCTTGAGTCTAAAATGGTTGAGAACCACTCTAGTATGAGGCAGCTGCATACAGGGTATCTGAATACGCATGCACACGTGAACGTGTTTGTATTTATTCTTGGATGCTGTCCCCTGCTTGAAAGATTGACTGCTCCTCTGTGTGCATTGAGTATGTTGCTCCCTGCTGAAATAATGGATGAGTTTGTGCAGCAGTGTATGTGCATGCACATGTGTGTGTTGCGACATGCTGACTTCTGCTGGTGGCAATGAGACCCACTCTGTGCATCGGTGTGTGCATGCACAAGTGTGCACACACAGGCATGCAAATCTTGTGTACTGCTCCCTGCTGGAGTGAGAGGACTGTGTGCAGGTGTGTCGCAATGTGGATGGGATGAGACTTGCTGTGTGTGTGGGTTTTTTGCTTGCAGGTGCACAGGCACATGATATGTCCTGCCAACAAGTGGAGTGAATGGGCTGTCTCTTCAATCCCCAAAGAGCCTAGGCCTCCTCTGTGTTGGTGTGTTTGCTGTTACTGCATACCACCCCTACCAAAATAAAGGGTGCTACATATATGTTATCCGGATATTACCAGGGAGCCTGGTTTTCTCCGATTAAAAAAAAAAAAATCCCTAATTTTTGGATTTAAAAAAGTAATACAAAATCCACATTTTTCCATGATTAAAATGAAACACCACTAATATATAGATACATATACATATAGTGGTGTTTCATTTTTTAAAAAGTAACCCAAAATCCACATTTTTCTATGATTAATCTGAAAATGGAGGATTATTTTTATCAGAGAAAACCAGGATCCCTGGATAGTACTGTCTTCTCCCTGATGGAGTGAGGTTTCTCCGTGCTACCGCACTCTACAGAAGCTGAGCCCAGCAATTTGTGGGTGTGGGTTAACATGGGAATTGAGAATCTGTGTTGCCTCTCACTAGAGGGACTGAGTCTTACTGTGGACACTTGCTGGAAAGACTGAGCTCTGTACCTTGTGGTGGCATATGTTACTCCCTGGTGGACTGGGGGAGCTATCCATGTGTGTGTGGGGGAAATAAGCACTGGGGGAGTGTGTGTGCATGCACTATGCATGTGTATGCATGATTATGTGCACATCTACTCCTTGCTAGAGGGACTGAGCCCTGCACTCTGCATGTGCTGCTCTTTCCAACTTCTCCTGAGTGTATGATGCTATCCTACACATTTTGTCCACTGCCCTTTCTGCAAGGAATTTATCCTCCCATGTAAAAAGCCCTGCACCTTTTTGTGGAAGGCATGAGCTATGCTGTATCTTATCATTTTCTGCATATGACTTCCTCTTTGAGCAATGGGCTCTCTTGACGCCAGCCTAGGCCTTGCTGTACTCTCTCACCTGCTGCATCCGCTTCTCCAGCTCCTCCTTGATATCCTCCAGTGCATCAGCTACCATGTGCATGAGGCAGGCACCCAGGAAGACCCCAGCTGCAAAGCAGCCAATGAAGTTCAGGATGCGTCGGTGTCTTCCTATGGAGCAAGATGGGTGGAGGGGTGACAATGAGAGCAGGAGAGAGTTATAGGAGGATATTGAGGGGTTTATCAGTCTCAAGTTGCGGGGCTCCATAACATAAGAATGAAGCAGGGAGGGTGGGAGACAGGGCTAGAGAGAGCATCATCTTGGGGTAAGAGACATGTCTGGGTTTTTTATCCCCATCTCAATCTGTTGGTCTAACTCGAGCAAGTCACTTCCCCTCGCTGTGCTGCAAAGAGGGATAATGTTTAAGTACTTTGAGATCTACTCAAGAACTTTGCTCAATAAGATACAAGGGCTGTAGCATTAATATGTGTAATTCTTTTAATAGTAATAGATCAACACAACTATGAATGTGCCAGTCCATTGATACCTAAAAGGCTGAATGCTTCCACTGGGAAAAGGGAGTTAAGAAAAAGGAGCTAGATCAACAGCTGAGGTTGAGAGTGGAGCTGCAAAGGAACCTGCCATTCTGGGGGTTATTCCACAATCCCAAAGTTTGTTTTCATCCTGGGAAATGTCTAAATTTCCCATGAAACACAATTATTGGAGAGAAAATTATTTGTTTCAAGTCAAGTGTGTTTTATTTCAGTTTGGGCTTTATATTTTATATTCTCTGTATATCCTGTCATAAGTCATCAATGTCAAAAACCCAAATCTCTCTTTTAAAAAGTATTGGATTTCCTCATTTGGAGGGTGTCTACAGTGACAACATTTGTATTTCTTTTTCCTCCCTGAAACAACATTTTGCCAAAAACCAACTTTTCCCCACAAAAAAAGAACGCCTCCACCTCCTCACCTCCCCCCCAAAATAGTTTAATTGAATCAAACCAGGTTCTTTGGGTGAATCTGATATCTTTTATTAGACCAACTGAAGTAGTCGGAAAAAAAATGTTAGCAAGCTGTCAGGTTTGATTTTTTTTTTTTTTTTTAATTCAGTCATAAAATCCTGTTTCAATTAAAGGGGTGTAGGTTGTAGCCATGCTGGTCTAAGGACATAGGCAGTCAAGGTTCGTTGGGTGAATTTGATATCTTTTATTAGACCGACTTAAATAGTTGGGGGGGCGGGGGGGGGAAATCAAACCTGAAAGCTTGCTAAAAAAATGTTTTTCCAACTAAACCTGGTCTGATAAGAGAGATCAGATTCACCCAATAAACCTTGTCTGCCTATATCCTTAGACCAACACGGCTACAACCTACACCCCTTTAATTGAAACAGGTTTTTATGAGTGAATTGCCAAAACTAGTTGGGGG